TTTTTTTTTTTAGATAAGCAAGACGAAAATGGAAGAACATTCATCAGCTTTCAAAAAATGCTTGAATTCAATTGAAGCTGACTTGAGCGGGCAAATGCAGTATTTAAGTCATGTTTGTGTTGGTACCGCTCATCAAGGCACGACATTTGCCAGCCAACAGCGGACAATGCTCGCAGAACGATCTTTTGATTCTTTAAGGGATCACCTGGAAGCAATAAACAACACTCACCTCTCGCAAACTAATGATGTGCAGATGGAGTAGCAATGCCTCGCAGTATTATTTCCGTTATTTTATCCAAAACAGTGTGCTCACTCTAAAGAGCACATGATTAAAACTGTAAGCTTTCAATCAACTCCCGTCGCTATGAAAGCGCGACTTTGCGCTAACTTGTACAGCTTTGGAATCCAGTTGTTCATTTCCGCACCAAACTGTATAAAAACCAAAGCGGACTGGAAAGCTTTGACTTCAAGATACGTCTGCATGCACTTTAACAAGGCTAGCACACTTTTCTCCCAAGGCGAACTACTGCTCCAGCTAGCTTAAACGACAGAATGACTGCCCCTGATTGGAACGCTCGTGTTGTGGCTGTGTTGTACCTTTCGACAACAAACTGAGTGCTGCATATTAACCATAACCTTTTCAATGTACAACAACGATCCAGTAAAGAAACTTTGCTTTTCAGTCATCAGTCACAACAAAAGAACTCGTAGAGGATTTTGTTCCAGAAGTAATTAACATTCACACCCACTTCAAATCTTGAACACATTTAGCAGATCTAGAAGAAAGCAATGATAGCATTAATAATTGCGGCTGATCCATGAAAAATAAAGATGTGGAATGATGGATATGGCAAATCTGAGTCTAACATCAAAAACGATATGCGTTTTGAAAAAGTAAGCAGAACAATTTCTACCTGACTTTGACTGGCAAAAACTTGACGTTCAGTAAGAGTACGGTGTCTACTGCACTGATAGTCAGAGAATTCAACACTGAAGGGTACAAGCAAGAAATAATATTAATTCTGTAGAGGCAACAACCTCACAATAAGTAATTTACGAATGTAATATACGTTCTCATCATGCTTAACGTCCCATGCTTTAGGAACGTCCAAGTATACAGATGTTCATAACAACATTAAATACAGTAATGGAACCAAAGTCTCAACTGGTTTCGGTCCTTTACCCAACTTGAAGAGTTACAAGTTCTGTCGAGTGAGCAAATACCTTAGATTTTCAAATATTTCTTCAAATGTTCTTAGAACCTAAGAAAGAAATGATCTATCTAACAGAATGGTCTCGGCCATTAAAGCTGTTGTGTTGAGTTACCATTCCATCTCGCCTCATCATCGGACTCGTGTGGAGAATCCTCCTGGTTGTGAAACCGATGTATGTTTCCAACCTGTAAAACAGCACTTTAGCCGAACTTAACAATTAGTAAATGATCCGAATTTAAATGGTAGCTACGTAGTCAGTGGAAGATCACAACAAAACAGTGTGACGTGGAATCTGCTCAAAAACTAAATTTGTAACAAAATTTGCAGCACTCGTTTAACAGACTGCACCTAAGCCAAAGCAACTCAACCTACACTTTCACCGCACCAGCGTTGTAAGTAGCGCACTATGTTGTATTTGTAATTCTGAATGGGCTATGTCGACATGCAGTGCCTGGTTTTTATAAAAATATTCGGCACACCGGAAAAAGAGATCTACGTAAGCCAATACTCTCAATACTTTCATGGTGGCGTAGTTTACCTCAATAGTGATAAATATCTATATTTCTCCTGGAATTGAGTATATTTTAACGTTCGAGGATTTCTACCATGCTTCCCAAGCTAACGTGCCAGAAATTCCCAAAGGACACTTAACTAGCTAAGATATCCTCATTAAAAGCCCTTTTTTGTGAAGAATTTGTGAAAAGCCTCAATGCTTTGCTTTAGGCAGTTCAAAATAAGACGGGATTTGATTAGCCAACCTTGTATCTATATTAGTAAGCAGTCAATTACGAAATGAGCAAGAATCAGGTGCAATCTGCTAAATGAGTGTTAAACAGATAAAGCATTGTAAGCCTGAACGACTGAACGAATATGGGAAGAAAATAAAACTCAGCAATCCAAACGAAAATGAAAGTGACCAGTTAAAACAAGAGGTAATTAATTATATTATTCATGTTACCGAGAAAAAATTTCTGTCAACCAGACAGTGAGAACATGAAACAGAAGGGACAATGCCACTAACCTTCCGACTGCTTTCTGCCTGCGTCTTGTCTCCGTTACCATCTGTTACTCTTGGTTTCTTCTGATTAGGTAAGAAAAATGAAAACATGTATCTTAATAACATTTGCACTGGTAGCACAATGTAATATAAGATTGAGGTTATTCCGAAAGACGTAATGGTGGAGTGACTACTATTAACGTTGCGCCTCTAAAAGAGACATATACAACTTCTTGAATAACTAGTGAACACTTCAGAAGTTCTCCCTTGATGTTTAGCCCGTAAGGGGGGTAAAGTGGGAAATTTCAGACAACAGCAGTACCCATGAGAATAAAACAGCAAATTAAAGTGTAACCTCCAGAAACTTGTTCCCAAAAATAACAGAAAATTTTACGGAACGCACGTACAACTTGCTACGAGGGATTAATTATTAACTAACCGGGAAAACGAGAATGGTAGCTGAAGGGGTTAAACTAAGCTCTGTAAATGATCGAGTGTAATCCTCATCTCCAAAAACCCGCTTTGGGTAATTTTGAGTCAACATAATTTCTTGACTCTTCCATCCATCCTAGAACACTACTGTTAGCAAATATTAGTCAAAAGATTCTATCACACACTGTCTGTTTACCTCTCTGATCCTATCAACTAAAGCTGAAAAAAGTTCCTTGCAGTCAAAAAGAAGAGTAACTGTGCTTCCATTTGGGTACTTCACTTGTATGTGGCATTCTGTCCTGAAAAAATAACATAATTCTATAAAAATTGTTAATAACGAAAAAAAAAAAGACAAATCCATAGGCTGAAATTGCGGATAACAGACCGTGCCGTCGTGTTCCGGCGAATAAGACAACAGCTTTCTTCTGTCGGTTGACCCGGTGTCGCTGACTGAACCTTAACTTCTTGTTTTAAGCGCTCAGCTCTAAAAAAGTCTTACTGTAAATGTTTTAGGCCTGAGCTGTTCCAAACAAAGTAAACTACCTGTCCGCTTTGATCAATTCACGCAGTCGTTTCAACTCTTTCTCATTCTCTAACTTCTCCCGCCGTCTCTGCTCCGCTAAAGCACGGATTTCCATTTCATCACGATTTGTCTAAAGAAAATAAACGCTAAAAAGTCCACTTAATGAACACAAAAGAAGATACAAAACGCTTTTACAACTACCTCACGCTTGAGAAAGTAAGAAAAGGTATGGACGTAACAAGTTCGAAGGCTTATCTAAAGGGATTATAAAACTGGTAATTAGCGACGACCTTCGCTTCTGCCATCAACTTTCCGAGATTTCTCCTTTCCAATTCTTTTTTCTTTTCTTCTTCCCTACGACGTTTCGCATCCTCCGCACTCTTCTGTGATAGAAGTAGTTGTGCCCTAAAAAGTACCTTAAAAGCCTGAAGGTGCAAAAATTTGTTAACAACAACATTATCTAAAATGGAGGTCCAGTTTACGCAGTTCTACAAACCGTTTCACTTTCTCATCTAATGTCATTTGTGACCCATCCTTTAAACAGCTATCATTAGCCTTTCTTCCTTCAACTCCTTCAGCAGCACCTGAACCGATAGTGGCAGCGGTTGAGGTCTCACCAGTTCTGCTACTAGAAGCAGCAATCTGAGACTGTTGATTTGATTCACTCTGAGATGGCCCAACTGGTGTTCCCATTTTCTGCAAAGAAATAACAGCAGCATGAAGTAGCTTATAAAGAACTGCCGTCGGCAGATATGCTCACCTTCATAACATTATTTAAATGGGTAATGAAGGCAGCTGAATCTGGGGAATTACTTAGCGTGATGACGTCTAGTGCCCTACCATTTGGATCAATCAAATAAGCAGATGGAATAGTTGGTACTGGATCTAAATAGGTCAACACATAACGGAATAAAAGAACTACAAGTTCAACAGATAGTTTGTCCACCTATATCTAGAAGACTGCTAAACATGTCTACCAATAGAAACTTTATTCGGGAGACAGCATTAAAGAGACTCACACAGTTCTGAGAAATGACCTTTGGTTGTCGTCCCATCATACAATTTTATAGCAATAAGCGGATGAGCAAAACTATCACCGTCTATCTCACGCCAATATGCTTCCATCTTCTCATTATCAGTTTGGACACAGTCTTAAATTTCAAAAATGTAAAAAACATTCTCTCTAATCTTCACAGCAAAAAAAAGAGGCTTATTTGGCTTAAAATTCACGAATCCCAACTATAGTATTACAACAAGAGTACCCTGTCTCTGGAAAACAACAACGACAAAAACTCCGTTTTTTCTGCGACTTTCCTTGATCGCATCTGGAATATCACCCTCAAACCATTTCATAATGGAACCCTTGCCACTAAACCTGCAAACGAAGGCTATTTACCTGGTAAACTATGGATTAAAAGGTTCCCCAAATACGCTGTTTTACTATGACAACTTCAAAAAAAAACTTTTTCAGTAAATTTTAGTTGTTATCTGTAAATGAGCTACCCGGATGAGCCGTAACTGCAGCATTAATTTTACAGGAAGTAGTAAGCGTCTCGTTTAATATTCACCTTCCAATATTCGAATAAGATCTCTAAGTTTCATAACTGAACTACGAAAGTGGCATAACACCGAACTTGGTCACTTTGTTTAACCCAACCTTACTTACCTGACCAGCGTGAATATAAAACTGTATTTCCTGCTAATTACTATTTACCTTCAAGAAAACACCCAAACCGTTTCTGCAGTCCAGTTCTAAATGCAAGAGTGACTGTTCAGCATAAAAAATTTTGTATTCGATAAAAGCAGGGTTTCTCATATTTTAAACTTCTTGCAGCACATTTAATGAATGCGACTCAGGTGAATCTACTAAGAGCGAAAGTGCTCGTAACCCTACCTCTTTATTAATTACCATTCGAACGCAACAACATGCTACCGAAGTGTTGCATGTGATAGCATTGTTTAAATGAACCCATAAAGTTACTTTTTAAAAAAGTGAAGGAAGTATAGTTGCAGTGCTGGTTGTAAAATAGGAGAGTAAAGGGATACCGCTGAATACCTGATTTATGAAAAATGAGAAAGGAGAAGCGAGAACGCCACTGAAAAATACAACAGTTGAACAAGCTTTTCCCAAAAAACACGGAGGTGAGTTACGATGATTCGGGAAAATTTACTGATAAAAAGCACATCGTAATCTTTCCACTACGTGGGAAGTGACTAGCAATTGGCAAGAATCCAAAAGCGGGAGTTCAAATTTCTGGTTGAACCGCGCGGTATTGTTTATGTTTTGTGTCATTTTTACAAATATGCCAGTAGCAATAAAAGCGGTCGTTAACTAAGGTGTAAACCAGGTAATTCACGAAGTAGAGTTTTTATAACATCAGGTCCGAGTTTGCAACAACAGTATTCACTTTAAGCGAGGTTTTGTGGCTCTCTGCCCCTTGTGGCATAAGTCATATCCAAAATTCAAGCTTAATCTTAAACTATTTGGCACAGTGTTGGGTTCTTTTATTCGAAAGAATCTTTCAAAGTGGACTTTGCCGACAGATCTGTTTGGGGTTGCTACAAAGTGCATTTGAGAAGTGGAAATACTATAGTCATACATCGAGTAAAGACATGGAGGACAATTTTTTGTGCTCCCTGGGAATCCTCAACAACCTGAATCGCTGAGTCCAATATTTCGGCGGGTTCGGCTATAATATGCTATTTTAAACGAGGTATAAGGTTTTCCAGGAGCCAGTACCGGTGCTGGAGATTTCGTGTGAACCTTATTAGTCGGCGGAGCTTCGCATTCGTAAAGTGGTTACCTCCATACTAGCACAGCATAAAACTTAAAAACTGTTTTACGCATAAATATAATAGAATTTCATATGATCAGTTTTGGCACAGTTCGACATTGCTTTCAAAATTAAGCGAATTACTCTGTCTAAAAAAACGTCGTGATATTTTTTCCAAAAACTGCAAAGGGGCTGCAGTATGGAAATCTCCACCGTAAGTAGCTGTCGAATGCAAACTTCGAGACTGTGTAATACTTTGGGGTTTTAATGGTTCTATCCTCTGTATCAAGACTGAAAAAGAAATGTTCTTCACTGGCATTCCGCCAGTGGGCGTAAACAACTTTGACATGTTTGACAGTCGCAGATTTGGATATTGAGGTTTGAAATATACATTCTGCGAGACGAGGCTTCTTCAAAACTTCTTCTTTTGTAGGCACAGCACCTGCCCCGGCAGAGTTGCGTAGAAATCATTGAGCCTGTACATCAGGATTTTTTGCATTACTTCTAGTGCGAAGCTATATTATAAAGCGATATTCGTGTAACGAAAATGGTTGGGAAGAAAGGAGGGAATGACAAAAACTTGAGAACATATTTGAGAAAGAGTGACCGAATAAAACCGTGTGCTGTAACTGTAATTAATGTAACAGGATGTAAAGTGAACGTTTCATATATATACTTTTATTCCACTTGAATGAATATTGAAGAGTTTAGGTTACTGTTCTGATTTGTATTTCGTAATTTCATTGTCCATTTCGCAACGTCCTAATTTTTGGATACCGATGTTTTGTAACGTTAACCTGCGGTAGTCCTTTGCTGAAAGGTATAAGAAAGCTTTTTGTTAAGCGTTATCGCTCCAAACAAACAGTTTGACGGTAGATTTGTGAACGATTTGTGAAATGAGACCGTGCTGGAGTACGTCAGAACAAACGGGAAAACACTGAATTTCCAGATAAACCGAGCTCTTCCAAGAATAACAGTTGAGAAACTGATTCTTGCATGGTTGTCCTTTGTTTTCCCAGAGAAGGGTCCTGCTGCAGCACAGTGTATTTCACTGTATTTTCTGTGGTGTATTTCACTGTAATCTCCGTGGAATGTATTTCTTTTCCTAGCATAATCTAGAGCAGTTGTCGCTTTTTTTCCTATCTGGTTTCATAAAGTTCAGAAATTAGTTCTTTCGTATGCAACGGTTATAAGTTTTTTTTTCAGTTTATAGAGTACTAATATCAACAAAAGACAAATCGAATTTTGCATCAATGTTCTAAAGTAGTTTGGAAATCTGGGACAACCAGGTGATCTTTAATGCTGATATGTTAACTTGAGGGCCTTGTGCGGCAGCTAGTTTTTGAATCAAATTAAAAAGTTTTATACTTGGATTTATGAGGCGCCAAAGTTTTTTCAATCGGAAGGGAACAGTGGTTTATACTTCGCATATATGGTGCATAACTTTTTCACCTTATAAAAGTTCTCTTTAGACGTATTACTCTCTAGAATCAATCTATAATCTTATGCTGGTATCAGTTGATTGGCTTTTTGAGATATAAGCCTTCATAATAGGCGGATTTGTTTGATCAAGTTTCCGGGTGTAGGTATATATCTGTTACTGACTCACTGAAAAAAAAAAGCAACTTTTGAAGGTTCTGGAGCTTCGGAACCAGTCCACCAAGTACAGTTAAAAACTTAAGAGAAATGAAGACTTTTGTTTGTCTTTCAGTCTGTGCGCCTTCATTCTTGGATTGGATTAGCTTGTTGTCCTACGGTTTCTCAGTTTCAACACCCTTTTTGTATAGATTAATTTGGTTTTGTTATGGCGTCCCTATGCTTCAGCATTTCTTAATGCCGTCTGATTCTCAATGAAAAATTTATTTTAGTTTTGCTGAAACTAACGAATTTCTTTTTTTACCAGTACGGGTTTTTTTCCGCAAATGTCAACTTTTGGTCCTGAGTATTGAAATTTTTTATTCCTTTCCCTTTTTCCAGCGATACATTGCCGATTATTTGAGAACTGACTTTGGTTATTCCTGGTATTGCCCCATTGCAGTCCACTGAACATCTCGCATTTCCAGTAGCATCGGCTATGACGGTTCTTTGAGTGAGGTGCATTTTTGGTTCGCTTTTGAACTCACTGGCTCTTCAAAATATGAGGTATATTACTGCTCAAATTCAAATAAAATTCAAGGATTGTATATGCTGTAGCTGCATCTGCTGTCTGTTACCTCCAAGGAACAATATACTTTGCCTTTCGAGAAGTTGTTTGAGGGGGAAGGGGTCAAATGCTGTTGTGAATGTTTTTCTTTTTTAAATCCAATAACGGTTTCATAATAAATTAAGCTGTTACATCTAAGTCGATTAGTATGCATTTTAAGCTTTATACAAGTTTAGGAGACCGGATTCGTTTAGTGAAACTAGAGTTGGCTTGCGGCGCGTTATTCAGAGGGAAAACGCCTGCAAGAAATTTTATCATTTATTCTCATATGTTAGTGATAATAACAGTGAAAAACATTGTTTTAAGTGGAAAATTAAATTCCTGGTTAAGCACCCGTTCATCTGCAAGTGCAGGAAGGTTTGAGAAGAGTGAAACAAAATACAATTTTTGTGCAGTTGAAACGGGTGCAAACGGGTGTTTGAAGGGTCTGAATTGAAATTTCAAAGATGTTGGGAAGCTTAATGCTCGTAACATAAAAGAGCTTTAACGGGCTGGATAAATTTTGTTGCGTGGTGATGTGGTAAGTTGTGATTCTATCTTTATTGCTGCAGGATTGACGTGGACGGCCTCGATGTGCTTTTCCCCTACGATTATGTTTATCCAGAGCAGGTTCTATATATGCGAGAGTTGAAAAAAACTCTTGATGCTCAAGTATGTTTACAACGGATTATATCTGAAGTTATTCATCGAACTTGCAGGAATAACGAGTATTCTTTTGGATTTTCATTTTGCTAGTGGTTTTGCCATTTTTATTTGAAGGGGATAACAGGTAATTTTTTTAGGGGCATTGTTTGTTGGAGATGCCATCTGGCACTGGGAAAACGGTAACCCTGCTTTCACTGGTTATAGCTTATATGACCCGATATCCAGATCGTTTGGATAAATTGGTATATTGTTCACGAACAATTCCTGAGATTGAGAAATGTGTTGAAGAGATGCGCAATTTATTTAAATACTATGAACAAATGACTGGGGTGATTTTTTGATCATTAATTTTAATTAAAAGAATTATTTTTAAAAACTTTTTGATTCACTGCGTTTTGCATTTTTAAGGAATAATGAAAGCCGGGTAGTAACTAACTGTTTTTGCTTTCCTTGCTATAATATTAAGGAACCTTTCAGTCTGCTCCTTCATTTCTTGCGCTGGCGATGTCTGCGCGAAAAAATTTGTGCATTAACGAATCGGTTGCTTGTTTAAGGCAAGGCTCCGCTGTTGATGCAGCTTGTCAGAGGTAAATAACGAAACTGGGTTGGCATTATGATTATTGTAATTTTTGATAATTATTCTTTTAGACTTACGGCGAGTTTTATGCGAGCTAAACGAAATTTGTATCCTGATTTGCCAGCTTGTCCGTACTTTGAGAAATTTGACGCACAAAGGGACATTGGTTTAAACCATGGGGTTTACAACTTAGTAAGTCTATTATTTTAAATCAGTTTTTTTGTTTGTCGATTACGAGTTTTAGGTTTGCTATCAGTCCTTGAACAGTAGGCAATTAAAAGCGCTGTTCTGCCTCTACAACATGTAGTTCTCTTTAGAAAAATCTTTTCAGTCAGATTTAAAGAAGTGGTCAAGAAGCAAAGGTGTTTGCCCTTATTTTATTGCTCGTTATGCTGTCGACCGAGCTCAAATTGTAGTTTATTCGTATCATTACATCTTGGATCCAAAAATTGCTGAGTTAGTATCGAAACATTTTAGTAGGCGCTCATGTGTCGTATTCGACGAGGCTCACAACATCGGTTGGTGTCATTCACATTTTTTTTAAGGAATAGCTTTTCTCTGAAAACATTCTTTTTTTAGATAACGTTTGTATTGAATCTATGAGCGTTTCACTGACCAAGTCTACAGTGGATAAGTCCTCCAAAAAACTCGATCAGTTGGATGAACAAATTAAAAAGTGGTTTTTTCTTTCTTCAAGGTTGAAGTGACGTCTCCGCTTTAACCTTTTCTAATTAACTTTGGAAGGTTGTAGAGACGAATCTTTGTGCTTTCCATTTTGGTTTTTAATTTTCTAATACCATTTAAAATTTATGTTGTAGCCTTTATACTCTTTATAACTTAAAAACTTAACTTTTTATGGGTTTTAATTTTAACGTATGGACCGTGGTTGGCTCTTTTAAAAAAATGTTTTGCTTTTACCCTTCTGCAGGCTTAAGCAGGAAAATAGCGAAAGACTACAGACTGAATATGATCGTTTAGTAGAAGGGTTGAAGCGTGTGGAAGAAGAACGAGCTAATGATGAAACACTGGCAAGTCCGGGTAAGCAGTTCCTGTTAATTTGTAGTGAATCGTATGCTGATTTTGCTTCTGTTTATTAAGTTTTTGAGAAGTAATTCGTATTAATTTTGGCTACTTAGTGGAGGAGGAATGAAATTTAGGTTCTTTTCCCAGTACTTCGCTTTTCTCGTTGTCCTCTATTTGTTTCTGTGTCATTTTTTTGTAGTTCTTCCTGATGTGATTTTGCAAGAAGCCGTGCCTGGTATGATTCGTAATGCGCAACATTTCTTAATATTTTTGCGGCGTTTAATTGAGTATATCAAGCATCGTATGCGAACTACAACTGTTGTGATAGAAAGTCCTAGCGCTTTCCTCAGAGATATCCAAGACAGAATGGCAATAGACAGGAAGCCACTGAGGTTTCTGAGTAGTCATAATTATATCTGCAGTCATTCCTGTTGAAGATTTTATGTTGATTACGTGTAAAATAACATTCCAGGTTTTGCGCGGAACGTCTTGCATCACTTTTAAAAACACTGGAGTTAACCGATATGGCAGATTACAGCTCTCTGGTCCTAATAACAAATTTTGCGACGCTTGTTAGCACCTACGCCAGAGGTCTTTTAGTCTTTTCATTTGTAAGACACTTGTGAATTTTTAGAAGTTATGGAACTTTTGCATGATCTTATATTTTTTAAAGGGTTTACACTGCTAATTGAACCGTTAGATGAAAAAAGTGACATGATGGGACACAGCTGCACGTTGCACCTTAGTTGTATGGACGCTTCAATTGCTATTCGCCCGGTATTACAACGGTTCCAGAGCGTTATTATAACATCTGGAGTAGGTTTTCTTTGTGAAAGTTCTCATTATTTTTTTTGTATTTCTTAGCAGCAAATTTTAGACTTTATCTCCCTTAGACATGTATCCGAAAATCCTCGATTTTGAGCCGGCAGTAATGGCAAGCTTGTCAATGACACTTGCACGACCGTGCGTCTCTCCTTTAGTGGTCACCAAAGGTTAGGTTTTTTAAAAAATTTTACCGAAAACAGTGGGTTTTTTGTGGGGTTCCAGGTAATGATCAAGTGGAAATGACATCGCGCTTTGAGTCTCGAGAGGACCCTGCAGTCATTCGTAATTATGGCAATTTAGTTCTTGAAGTTGCCTCGATAGTTCCAGATGGGATGGTTGTATTCTTTACTAGTTATATTTTCATGGAAACTGTTGTAGCTGCTTGGTATGATCAGGTAGGTAGTGCTTACTATTTTGTTTTTGGAACTTTATTTCTTTATTGGTACGTACGAATCAAATATTTTCTTGGTCGCTAGCAAATTTTCTGTTTACTTACTATAATTTTTCAGCGTATGATTGATGAACTCTTAAAGTATAAGTTACTTTTTATCGAAACAACAGACGCTTTAGAAACCAGCGTTGCACTGGAAAAATATATTGAAGCCTGTGATTGCGGTCGCGGGGCAGTTCTTTTTTCTGTTGCGAGGGGGAAGGTTTCTGAGGGAATTGACTTTTCACACCATCTCGGTCGTGCAGTTGTCATGTTGGGTATTCCTTATGTTTACACAGAAAGTCGGATTTTGAGAGCTCGTCTCGAGTATTTAAGGGATCAGTTTGGCATAAAGTAAAACTTTTAATGAAATAAACTTTACTATTTGAAACGGCGGTTTCAAATATATTTCTCTTCTAAATATATGCTAGTTTTTTACTGCAGGGAGAACGATTTCTTAACGTTTGATGCAATGCGTCATACTGCACAATGCATGGGTCGAGCGATTCGTGGGAAAATGGATTATGGTTTGATGATCTTTGCTGATAAGGTAGTGCATTTTTTTCCAGTATTCCGACTTCTTAACAATTCAATAATAATAGTTTGAAACTGAAAGTTTCTTCAGCGATTTGCAAGAAAAGATAAAATGGGGAAATTGCCAAGGTGGATCCAAGAATATTTAAATGCGGGAAGTACAAATCTCAGTATTGAGGAAGCAGTAATGACAGCGAAAAGGTTACTTATTTCCTTCCTGATTACCTGCTCTTCTTTTTTTTAATCAAATGATCGTGATGTAGGTGGCTTCCACTGATGGCCCAGTCTTTTACGAAAGAGGACCAGCTTGGAGTAGCTCTTCTTACTCAGGAAATGCTAAATGATGGAGCTCCGTTGGAGCAACGGTTTCAGCATGTGGTTCAAGAGATTGATTGATAACAGTGTTAGGTGGTGACAGATGTCCTACCATTTATCAACGGGTTTAAGTGATTCTCAAATTTTTATCTCTTATTGTTTGTCAAAGTTGAAAAATCTCGCATTTCGATGATTAAAAATGTTTTGTGTGCAAAGAAAGTTTTTTCAGTTCTGGGATCTGTTTTTATAAATTTCAATCTCGCAGCTTTGATTTCTTTTGTTACCATGAATGAATATTCTGTGGAATTGTTTGTATGCTTTCTTTTGTTGGTCACGTCCATAGTATTTATTAGCCTAGTGGTTTCTGCGTGCATATTCTTTCTTAAGTGTAGGGAACAAAAGTTGATGTAGGTTTGTAATGGCATCTGGAGACTTTTTTAAAGGTGATTTATATTTTCAGTGAGATATTTCACAATTTCAAAAGACCGTTGAATAATCTCATTCAAGTTGTAGATCGACTTTTACGTGTTGCTGAAATAGCTTTTTCACTTTTGCTATTTTCATTCTTCAGGGTAGGCCGACTCATAGATCTCCCTTTTTTTGACTTGGTTTTTTGGGCATTTTCGCAGTTAGCCTGCTGCCGAATCATTGTGCAGGTTACTTCCGTCAGTAAAGATTTTAACAAAAGAAAGAGTAGTGGTCAGTTTATGGTAGTGAATGTATGTTGTAAATTTTTTTTGTATGACTCCATTTCCGTTTTGGCCGAATTGTGGTTTTCGACTTCGGAGGGATTGTGTGCAAGTAGTTTTAAATGATTTAGACATTTTGAGTAACGGTGGCTTTTGACGCTTTTGTGCGATGTCAACTTGTAAATCGATTTCTTTTGCTCGAAGGGCCGCATTTTTTACAGTTGTCCGCAACAAAGGACATTCTAAGTGGCAAAATATCAAGGAGAACAAGGTACTCGTGATTAGGTGTCCCGGTTTCATTTAACAGAGTGCTTTATCAGTTCTTAAGTTTTTCTTTTGTCTCAACCTTTGAAAGTCCTTTTTTCACTGTATGGCATTTAGGGAACTGTTTAACAAAACTTCAGGGGAAGAATGATAGGATGAGGTCATTGGCGATTACACGTCTTTTGGAACGGGTCAGAGTTAGTGTCAAGAAAGATGGGTTTGATTTGAAATTTAACAAAGAGTTAGCTGGACTACAGCAAGAATTTCGAGCTAACAGCTTACCACTGGATACTTTTAATGGGTACTTGGCGAAATTGAAAGTATGGGTTTGCTTTTCTTTTGTACTATTTGATTAAAATCTTTGAATTTGAAGCTTCATGATTTAGTGTGGACTGGTTTGTGCGTTTTTTATCGCTCTCCTTTTGCCTTCGGGGATGGTGCTTTGGTTTATTCCTTCTAATCTGTCGTTTTCTGCTATAATCATTCTGGAAAGTGTCAAATTTTTAAGCTTGTCGCACAGTGTTGTCTAATAAAAAGTTCCAAGAAATTATATACATAAAGCAAATAAGTAAATATATGTGTACATAACTATTTGTAATACAAGGTATATATAATATGTAACATGTAGAGCTACTCTTTTTTCTCTTAATTAATAGAGGAAAATTTTCAGGCTAAACCAGAACAAACAGTTTACTTCGAAATTATTGGACCTTCTGGTTCCTTTTTTATAGTAGAAACAGTCACAGATAGCAAAAATAGGAAAAGCAACACAATGTGTAAATATTTTAATAAGGTAAGATGATATGAATGGTTAGAATTTCTTCATAATTTGCTCTCCGCTTACTCGCCATAAAGCCGGTTTTATTATACTTTTGGGTTCAACGGTTTGTTTGAAACGTACTGCAGTAATGTCGTCGAGGGATTATAAGTTTTTTGTTGCTGTGTTCCAGTATTTGGCAGAGTTAGAGGAAGTTCTTTAAGTGTTTTTGTTATTTTTTTTTGTTTGCTTCTCATATTTTTTAAAATTAGAATCACAAGGAGGGTGTTTTGATAAGACCTTTATAGTCTAGGTCGGAGGATTCCGGTTCTCAACAGGTCCTTCGTCATTGAGACAAGCTTTTGATGAAAAAGGAATTGTTCATATTTCTCCGGTCAAAGGTGGTCAAGCTCTGTCGCTTGACAAGGTATGTTTATTTATTTGTTCTTCTGAATGATGTTGATATCTAATAGCAGAAATGCTTATTTTGAACACTTAAAAAATGAATAAATTGTCCTTTTTGTTGGTAACACTACAGTTCACAATTATCAAAGAATTAAACTGCATACTTACTATTTGATTGGCTCAGATGATTTTGAAGTTGCATTTTATTATCAATAAGCAGTGATATATCTTTTAGATGGAAGAACTAGGGATTGAGCTTGACTGTGAAGACGTTAACCTTGTGGCCGATGAGTCTAACGAAAGTATATATGAATTTGTTTGTGACTATACCAATATGAAAAAGGTTGAGAGTCAACTGAAAACGTTGGGCTTTGTTGTTTTGGCTGCGGAACTGCAACTACGAGCGAAGCACACCGTACCGATTAGTAAAGAGGATTCGGCG